AAAGGGGTGGGAGCGGGGCAGTACCAGAGGAAATCTAAAATAACCCAACAAATTCTGCCAAAAATTCGAAGTCCATTACTCGCGTCACTGCAGGTATCCTCTTATGTGGTTAAATTTTTGGCAAAATAGTATAAATGCGTATTTAAAAATAGTGCAGCCACAACAAATGTACAAACTGTACAGCAATGATATTAATGCATTAAACGTAGAACAATGTTTAAACTTATATCACAACGCAGTTACCCACCTTGACATATTCAAATAGCAAAAGCTTTGGAAATCGATTCAATATAGCAGCTTTGAGGGAATGTGCATCCCAGCTCTTGTCAAAGGGAAACTCGTGGCAGACAAGTTCTCTCTCTTCTAACTGAAGTCGGGTTGTATGTGTAGGCACTTTGTTGATCTTGGGACTGGGAATAAGGACTAGATCCTTGTAAACAAGTGTCTTGGGTGGGCGGCCTTTGGTCGACTTAAAGGTCTGCTTTGACCTTGCTGGTCTTCTACTAGTGCTTTTCCCACTAGCTCGGTTCGAACCAATTGTCGGAAAGAGAGTGGCATCTATAGCTCTTCCTCCATATAGCCGAACGCCAAAATGGCGGAATGGAAAAAGTGTAGCGTGGTCATGTGATCACGTGTTGCATACTAATTAGAAAGAAAATAAAAATCCCACTCGGAACGAAAAAAACATATGGAATGAATATAAAAAATATAGAACGCATATAAGATAAAGAGAAAAAATAGAAAATAGATGCGTTAAACACGTGTATCTAAATTAATAGGAAGAGATTTAAAAAATATAGAAGGAAAAAGAAAAATAAAGTAGCGAAAAAAATATATCTACATAAAGGAAATAAAAAATATGGCAAAGGAATGTAGTGGATGTATTGTATATTAAGGTTGTTTGAATATTGACTGGAAAGGCGCGCCATAGAGAGTGATGATAGAAATTAACTTGTATGTTCTCTTCTGTTTAGGGAGATGTGAAGTGACCCCACTACATAAACTTAGTACTATTGACAGAATGGATGGGTGTGAAATTTACTGTGGCAAGAATGTCATTAGTTCCAGAAGCTTACTACTGGTATCAATTATCAATCTTTTGTTCTCTCCACGCAACTTGCCTCAACTAGATGATACTGTATGCAACTTGTGTCTATGTCTTTTGCAACTGTGAAATTACCAATAAAGTTTCGTTGGAAAAGGATATGAGTGATCAGGTGAAATATTGTCATGTTCTTTTAGAGTATTTGACCTTCTAGTGAAAGCTATAAAATTTCTTAAGTGACTGATACATGATTTGTCTGTCTTAAAATTGGCACAGCCAAACCCCTCGCTAGAAACTATAATTTCCTCCAATAGGAATCCAAGCTGATGCCCAGTACTGCAGAATATGCAATGTCAAAGTCCCCTTTGACCTAAGTCTCATTTCTTTAAATCTGATCGATGTAAATCATCCATTTTCATTAAGAGATCAACAAACCTCTCCACATTAGTTTAAACTGACCTCATTTAGTCTTGTTCATAGGAATAAAAGGCATTTGGAAATATTTTGTGTTATATCCTCACTGTTAAATATCAGCCCTACTGGTTTTTTGTTGTTTGGCATGTAATAAGAGTCTTTTCAGACCATAAAATCATTATATAACTTTTTTAGTTTAATAGGTTGGAGAACAAGGTTGCAGAGAGTGTATATGATTTTGCTGTGCAGTTGAAATGATAAATGAATCTGATTTTTATTGGGAAATAATTGATTTATTTAACTATTCATATTACGACTGGAAGCCCATACTAGTACTTGTTTTAATTCACAATCTCCCCACATCATTGGTCATATCTGATGATATTTCTCAGACTAATGATTGAAAAGACTTTTCCTTATTCCGATCAAGTCCTTAATTATTCTTCCATTTCTAACAAGCTCTTTGATGTAATGGCCGTATCGTTGTCTTACTTTCCTTTACTCGACATTGACCTTTTTTTTTTCTTATTTTCCTCCTTTTGTTGAGAAGTACCAGCAGTTTCTTGCATCAAACTAAAATTAAAAGAACACGTGCAATTACCTCTCGAGAAATGGCAAAGAAGTTGCAGGGTTCCACGGTCTAACTTTTGATGAAGGAAGTGTTATCAATTTTTTTTCTTGCCGGATGAAAGGACTTTTTAGACAATGTATGTTATTCTGGGCAGAAAATATAATATTTGTCGTATTGTCGTTTCGAGCGAGAGCATACTTGCATGAAATTATCAGTTTACAACCACATGAAATACACTCATAAATATTTTAATCATTGGTTTAGAGTCCAATTGCTTAGAAAATAACAAGACAAAAGTTGAAATAACACGAGTTTTTGAAATTGTTCTTCAGTGTTCTGTGTTCCTGAAACACATTAGCAATTTGTTTAGAGTTCAATCTCGGATACAACACACGAGTTGAAATAACAGAAGTTTCCAAAATGTAAACAATTGGTTTAGAGTTCGCCAACATCTAATAACTGAAAAAAAGTTGAAATAATATGAATTTCTAAAATTGTTCTTCAGTGTTCTGTGTTCCTGAACAAACTATTGTTTACAGTTTAAATTCTATCAGAAAAACAAGATAAGAGTCTTAATATAAACAGGAGTTCTTCTTTTTTTTTTTTTTTTTTTTCAGTGTTCCTGAGTTCAATTGCCGGCACAATAGTAAAGTGGCTACTGGTTTAGAGTTCAACGGCAGACACAATATGTGTTAATGAACTGTACCTAATGGTAATGTTGTTTAATAACAGCAATTGTTCTGTCAGTTGCTCTTCCAACATTTCTCCGACTCTTGGAACAACTGTCTTCAACGTCTGCTCGAACGCAGTGACGATGACGTCACTTTCATCTTGTCCTTGCACGGAAAAATGAACAAAAATTCTTTTATTGCAGTTGGAAAGAACCACAGTGTATGCAAAGAGGGTATTGCTGAACCTTTTCGACAGTTTTTATGAATGGAATTGCTACTGTCAATTCATTCTCTTGTGGAACTTCTGAAGGCTCTTCCATAGTTATGCTTTTGAGCTTCTCATCTTGAATGGCAGAGATGACGGAATTTGGACTTGTAGTTAACTTCTTTGCACCATTCCAGAAGCGCACACAAATGTTTGTTATCTTGTAAACTGCGGCTGTGGTAATTAACGCGATTATCTTCCCACAGGCTGATAGGTATATTTCCTGTTAAATCTGCTATTGTCCCTTCAGCCATTTGGAGACTGTTTGCCAAGATGAATCGTTGATACTTCACTGATGTTTCCTACCTTAACAAGGACTGACACTGAATCAGCTTCGCTTGAATTCTGGAGGATATCTGCTATCATGGTGCACTTGTTGGTCGACAGCTCTACATACTGGAAACAGTACTCAGTTGGCGAGGGTTGAGAAATGTCTGTCATATCATTGATAATGAGCTTGGCTTGGTCTGCTGTGCAAGTGAACCTTCTTATCTTTACAGGAGTTCTTGTCCACAGGCTGTCTTCTAGCAGCGGCCAGCGAATACAGTAATGAGGTCTTGCAATTTGGTTTGAAGTGTTAGGGTGGAGTACTTCATGGTCTTGCGTTTGTTTTGAATAGGAGAAGACAAATCATGAACATATGGAATGATATCGTTCTGTTTTCCTTTGGGCAGGGTCATAGGAGGGCTTTGGGGCTCAACAGCATGTTGGCTTGAGTTTGATGGAAAACTTTTGGCCAACACAGGTTCTGTAACAGTAGCGACTGAAGGCGAAGGGTTGGGCTTGGCCACATTTTTCATTTTCTCACTTGCCCTCCTTGAACCCCTCATCGTTGCCAAATGCTTACTGATTGACGTGAGCAGGAATGTTGGCTTTTATACTAGAACATAGGATTGAAATTCCAGCATTGTGATTGGTCAGTATAGTGTTGCTGTGTTGCCTACACCCGAGGAAACAATCCCTAGGTAGTGAAAGGTCGAAGTTGAAGTAAATTTCCTTTTAAAACATTAAAACATCCAAAATTATCATGAAATTTGCTAGAACATTTATAAAGCCAGCGAGAACAATGTTGCTGGAGTTTATTGTTAATGTTGGAAGAACTAGAATTGATGGAAAGAAAGAGGCCCTCAATGATACTGTTTATTAAAGGTTGCAAGTGCGAATGGATCTCTGCTGTTGTCTTTAGAGAACAGCCAGAAATCCGTCTACGTTTGCAGGGTATCAAATCTTGGTAGCAAAAAGGTTTCTGATGGTGTTGTGTAAGGATTTCGTACAAAGAATAGATCTAGAATAAAATTTGAAAACACAGTTTGAAAACAAAGCAAAGTTTCAGATGGCGTGGACCTCTCTGGAAACAGTGTAGTTTTTCCATTGGTTGGTTTTGATCTTAAGTTTTGAGTTTTTCAAGGGTGACGTTACGGTAGTTAAAAAGCACAGAACAAGTTTTGGAGTAAAAGCAATAATTATCAATGGTAATTTGCCTGCAAGGATGGTATCGTTAGAGTGAAATCCATATGCCACCATGTAACACAGAGAAGTATCCCTCAAAAATATATCAAAAATACTAAAATGTAATTTATTTTTTCTCTATCTCTTTGTGTACAACCATAAATGAGACACGAGTTTAAATATTGGCGTTTTATACTGAACACCCTAAGCGAGAGCAAACATGAGACTGTTTGTAGCAAGCCAGTTTGCTGCCTGCAAAAGTTTATTAGGTCTAACATTCAAGGACAAGGCAGAACTCTCATATTCTAATTGTCTTTTCAAATGAATTTTGATTGTTCCACTTTCTTGCGGCAACTGCGGTAATATGTTGACAGTATTGTTAACATCTGCTGGGATGTTTACCACATTTCCTTTTATTTTGAACTGATTTCCTCTGGGAGCTTGGAGAAGCTTTTGAAAAGCCAACCTAGGTGCCAACATTCTGCACTCTAACTCTTTCAAATAAAAAAAGTCTGGTTTTGCTGGAAAAGACATTCCATTCTTAGCTGCACAGGGTGGTATTTTGTCTTTCTTCAAATGTTTATATCAAGACTGACAGATGCACTCAATTCCATCAACACTTGTTTTAGTCAGTAAATATTTTTCTGCTGTAGGGTTGGTCAGTCTAAGTTTTTCAGCAGTGATAACACTGTGTTTATACCACAACTGGCTACAACAGGAGCAAATGTACTCTGGACCTCTAGAGACATTAGCGTGTAATTTTCTGATTTCACCAGTAATGGTTGGGTTATATACATTTTTCTCCTTCTGATATTGATGCTGGTTTGTTAGTCTTTCTTGCCTATGGTCTGCAGATTCATTTGCAATTTTTTCTTTCTGATATTGACGTTGGTTTAACAGTCTCTCTTCTCTACATATATAGTTAATATAATCCTGAGCGATTTACAGATTCGTGAGTAAGTTACATTGGTATTGAATATATTACTATAAACTATTCGTTAGAATATAATTTTTTATTTTTCGCTTAAAAGTCGATATATACTGGGTATTTTTTAGATCACTTGGTAAGCTGTTGTATACATCAACTCCTTTAAAACTAATGCTTAATTTCCTGAGGTTTGTTTTGACACAAGGCTTGTGTAATTTTTTGTTTGAACGAGTGTTGTGGTTGTTAACTTCTTCATTAGTCCTAAAAATTTTTTTCGATGAGATAGGTAATTGATTATTTGAAAATTTTTTCATTAAGATAGCAATAATGTAATAATTAACTTGGTAAACATTCAGTATCTTCAGATTATCAAATAATGGTTTTGAGCTGTGATTGTATTCTGTGAAGGTTATTATTCGTACAAGTTTCTTTTGCAGTTTATATATTTTCTCAAGATGAGTCTGATATGCATTAGCCCATACAACATTGCCATAAAAAATTTAGGGGTAGATCAGGGCATAGTAAATTGATTTCAGTAACGATCTAGTTACAAAATGCCGCGCTTTACATAATATACCTGTTAGCCTTGATATTTTGTTTGCAACGAAATTAATGTTCTTTCCACTTCAGTTGGTCGTCAACTATTGTTCCAAGAAATTTTGTGCTTTTTACTTGAGTAATATAATGATCTTTGATTTTTATATTTAGTTGTTAAGTTATTTTTTTGCTTGATGATTTAAACAGCATGAAATTTGTTTTTGTAATATTAAGTGATAATTTGTTTAGTTGTAGCCACGTATTGATTTTAATTAGTTCTTCATTCATTTTATCTATCAGCGTGTCTAGATTTTTTTTGAGACATCAACTAATTTGTATCATCTGCAAAGAGAATGAAGGATAATTTTTTTGAACTATTGCAGATATCATTTATATAAATTAAAAACAGTAGAGGACCTAGAACTGATCCTTGGGGAACTCCACACGTTATTTCTTGTTTCTCTGATATTTCATTGTTGTATCTGACGCACTGATATCTCTGTGTTACATAATTCTTAAACCATTCTAATGCAATTCCTCTAATGCCATAGAATTCCAGCTTTTGAAGTAGCAGGCTATGATCAACTGTATCAAAGGTTTTAGACAAATCCAGAAATACCCCGATGGCAAATTCTTTGTTATCTAAAGCAGTCGTTATTTTATTGATCAGGTCAATAAGTGCGAAATTTGTTGAGTGATTTCACCTGAATCCAACCTGTTGTTCACTAAGAAGGCATATTTTGTTTAAGTAATTCAATAACCTTTTGTATATCATTATTTCTAATATTTTAGAGAAGCAAGGTAATAAAGAAATAGGTCTGTAGTTGTTGAATTCACAACTGTCCCCTGATTTGTATACAGGAATAACAATTGATGTTTTAAAGTCTACAGGTAGTTTGCCTGTACTGAATGTGAGATTCACTGATGTGATGATGTTATCGTGTCCACAGCTTTTTGATGGGTCAAGATTTTCTAGTTTTTTCTTAATTTCTCGTTCACAGACAGGTGTCAAAAACATTGAATGACAAGTTGGTAGCAGTTATTTTCTTTGCAAGGTTAGCTCCGACATTAACAAAATATTCATTGAATCGATTAACAATTTCCCTTTTGTCAGTAATATGCTCATTATCTTTTTTAAATTCTGTAGAGCTAACAGTATCCTTCTTTTTCTACTGACTACTTCATTTACTAATTCCCATGTCTGTTTTATATCACTTTTAGCAGTGTCGAATTTTTGCTCATATCTCCTTTTCAGAATATTTTTTAACTTGTTCAGACGGTTGCGATAATATTTGTATTTTGCTTTTAACTCTTCATTTCCATTGTTTAAAATCTTCTTGTATAGCTTGTTTTTAATTTTAGATGATTTGATGAATCCCTTTGTAATCCAAGGTTTTTTATGAATTTTTGCTTTGTTAGGAAGATTCTTTTCAGGTATATATTTATTGTATAAGCTCATGAACGTTTCTTTAAAATAAGAATATGCGTCATCAACGTCATTGATGGTCCTTAAAAATTCCCAATTAATATTTTGAACTTCACTCCGCAATTTGTTCATATTTGCCTTTGTTACTGCTCTTTTCTTGATAACCATCTTTTTTGGTTCAGGTGTGCTTATAGATGGAAATATTTGAAAGACAGGTAGGTGATCTGAAAGGTCACTGATCAAAATTCCTCGAACACTATCTAAGTGGATGTTATTAATAAATATATTATCAATTAATGTTGCTGAATTTGCTGTAATTCTAGTTGGTCTGTTTATAAATGGATAAAAATGAGAGCTATACATTTGATAAAGAAATCTGTTTACATGGTCACTGCTCTCATATTTTATGAGATCAATATTGAAGTCTCCCAAAAGTATACACGTCTTATTTTCTTTATCAACCTTGCGGAGGATTGTTTTCAAGTCTGCTTCAAATTCATTAAAATTGCTGTTCGGAGGTCTATAAATTGTTCCTATGATGATTTCTCATTTTTCTTCAGGCTAGTCTCAACAAAAATACTCTCTAAAACACCGTCTCTTTGTAAATTCAAATCATTTCTAACGTGAAAATTTATAACAGAGGATATAAACATCCCTACACCCCCACCGGTCTTCGCGTTCCTGTTGTTGTTGACAAACGAGTAACCTGGTAGTTGAGTTTGTGATTCATTATCAATATTAAGCCACATTTCACTAATTCCAATCACTGAAAATTTATGTACTAACTCCCCAAGGTATTGTTGTAGGTCGTCCAATTTATTGGTCAAACTCCGTACATTAAAATGTAGAACAGAGAAGGGAGAATTATCGGAGAAATAATTTGATATTTTGCTTCTGCACCTGTCTTCAAGATAATACTCACATTTTGTCATATCGCTGTTGTGTCTTTGATTTTGGTAAAGATCACCTAGGTCAAAAACACAGTCTTCCGAGCTCATATCATCCAACACCGGGTGAAGCTTAAGACTGGTAAACTTAGAAAAATCATTTTTTATTATTTCCTGGTTCGTAAGTGTTTGAGCAAAATCATCATTGTCTAATTGCGTAAATGGAAATAATTGCTGTGAACAATTATCGCAAATCGGATAACTACAAGGAATTATATTACTCGCGTCTACACTCATGCATGCAGTATGAAAATTACTCCCACAAGTTTGACAATTAATTTCACACCCATTAATAATTGAATCACATTTAGAGCAGTTTAGCATTTGCTATAAAATTGAGGTTTGAACTAGTTTGATTATAGTCTTACTGTTCAAGCTGGTCGTGCGTGAACCGGTCATTCGATATGTTATAAATCCTTCCATTCCTTGAGCTCAACTATTCTCGGGTCATCCTTTAATTCATACTTAATTTTCCCATTGGTAAACCAAGCTGAGTCTACCGAGTGTTTTTCCTTCAGCTTCTTTAGCCTTTTCGCTAAATCTTGCGCCATATCTTCCAGAATAACTACCTTTTTGCCCTTTAATTGGCGTCTCTTCAGGAGCAGACGTGTCTTCGTCTTGTTAGAGAGCAGACGGACAATGACTGGCCTGGGTCTTGCTGACCTTTGATCTCCTGTTGAGTTTCCTGCGTTGCCGACAGTGAACTTCTTAGGGCCAACACGATGAATTATCTCCACTTCCTCTGGTTTAATTTCTTCTCTCAGGTTCTCTCTCATACAAGAAATAAATTTGCCCTCCAGGTCTTCTCCTTCTTGCTCATCTATACCTAGGATTCTTAGGTTGTTCTTCCTAGAGTACTGCTCATTGCGAACTGCGTACTCCCAAGTTAGGTCAATGTCATGTTTCAAAACATCCTCGACGTAATTAATACTCTCGTTGAAATCATCTTTGATTTTAGTGATCTCCTTACTTATGCCTTTGAACTTCTTTTCTAACTCTGCAATCTTAGTATCCATCATTACACTTAAACGCGTGGTCAACTCTTCAAGCTTGACATCCAGGATTGAGTTAAGAGCATTGAAGACCTCTGAGCTCAAACCATGTTGATCTTCTAAGGATTGTTTCGCTTGTTTCTTACTTGGACTTAAACTTTTGCGTCCCGGTGTCCCGCCATCTTTTTTTTTTTTTTTTTTTTTTTTTTTTTTTTTCATTAGCAACTTTTTCATTCTGATATTGACGTTGGTTTAACAGCCTCTTCTCTCTACATTCTGCTGATCATTTGCAATTTTTTGTCTTTGATACTGAGATTGGGTTGCCAGCCTCTTTTTTCTCGATTCAGAAGATTCATTTGCACGTCTCTTTTCCCTGTTCAGACGCTGCTGGGCCAGCCTCTTTTCCCTAGATTCCACAGTTTCATTTACCCTTCTTCGTTTCTCATATTCACGTCTAGCAATCAATCGTTTTTCTTTTTCTTCTGGCGTTTCAGTTAAAGACTTTTGCTTCCTTTTAATATGTTGTGTTTGGTTTCTTTTATTTCTGAAACGCAAATGTTCAATTTTTGGACTCTTGTGAACATTTTGCAAATCAAGTTCATTACCTCTGACAAAGACGCCTTTAATTTCAAAAGGAACAACCCCTATTTGTAAGCTGGAAATTTTCAAATATGATACAAGGTTCTCAATTCCTTCAATGGTAAGCAGAGAACATCTCCCAAATGAGTGGGGTATCCCATGCAAATCCCTGGAATGAGCATCAAAAATTTTAAAGCTTTGTTCTGCATTCTTAATCACTGCAACAGTATTAATTCCAATTGTTAACAAACAACAATTGTAGTTAAGTTGACGATTTGAAAACACTTCTGTCAGAGAATTTTGAATAGACATGTATGGCCCATTACTTGATGTCATGAACGAACTTCCTGTTAATGACTCACTATATTGTAATGTGTATACTTTATTGTAAATTGAAACAATGCATGGAACATCAGTTAAAAGCAAATAATTATTTGTCTGAACAGAACATCTTATAGAAGTATACAAATTATTTCCAATGGTAAGAATATTCAAAGTGGAAGAAATCCACAAACTAATATCTCCTATGTGATGATAAATAATAGCAGTAAGTGACATTGCTACACATTGCTTACCAGCATTTTCACCAAAGATTGCTTCATTTCCTTGACTGTAATCAGTACATATTGTTCTTGTTGGATCAATGACATCAAATATTGTAGGGCCCTATGCCAGCGCGGGTCCGAAATCCAAAACACCCATTTGACTTGAACAGATTATCATAGCTTTAATCACAAATCCACACGCGTAATACATCTCCAAATCGCTAAAGAAGTGAATCTGTCAAACTAGATATACAGATGTACAGTTGGTATCCAGAAAAACTGGAAAACGGCAAGCAGAAAGGTAAAAACTTACGCCTTTCCGGGCTCTAGCATCGGACCACGTGGTCAATAAGATAACAAAACTAGCGCGCATGAGCAGAAATCCGCGACGCATACATGACGTAAAAAAGGGCGGAACACGGGTGCCGCTACAGCCTGGATTTTCCTCTACATCATTTGCCTGCCTTTTAAGTAGTGGAATATAGGCATTGTAGAAAATCATTTGTGACAACCAAAACATCACATCATTCCACATTCTGTGTCGTCCAACAACTTGTTTCAATACTGGCAAGTAAAATACATTTAAATAGAACATCACAAACATTAAACTCCAAAAATGATCATTAAAACGTGATAAGATATCCTTTGTTGTCACGAAATTGTCATGAGGGCCAATACTTGACCGGTATTGTTCAATCGAGATTCCCATACTTTTTTTTTTTTTTTTTTTTTTTTTTAACAATTTTATTGACAAGACGATCACTTACACTACTTACAGTATTAATTACACTTACATTGTACTTGCTACTTACACTACTGATACTTATACTTAAACTAATTATGCATACACTACATTACGATACATGTATTACAATACTATTAACATTAATTTAATTTACGGTTGGCGTGTTTACAAAGTTCTTTTCAATTTAAGGACAATCACAAGTGAACATACAGGTCTCAAAAATGCTACATTTCTTTAGATATTTACTTTTGATATAGCTTAAACAAATATTTATGAAATTAAGTATAAGTCTAACCTAAAACAACAGCAGCATGAAAAATTAAATTAAAAAAGCCCACGTGCGATAAAATTTCGGAAGTTCTTTTTTTGCAGTCGCGATCTCTTTTAGGATTTCAAGTTTTCCCGTGATGAACAGTGGGAAGATTTGAAAATCTAAGATGTCTCCGCAAATGCTTGTGCAGAAAATGTGATATTTGGCTAACAATAGGCAATAATTTAGGACTTGCCAATGCTTTGTCCTATAATGCCAGCCATAGATCAAGCTGATAGTTGTTGGCTTGTGAGAGTGCAATGACTCCTTTCAGTGTGGTACAACCTGTACCGAAGATTCAAGCAGTTAAATATCGTTTTTTAAGAGCGTAAAAGCTCTTGCACAAGCTGCACTTATAACACAAGCTGGGTCTGAGTGTGTTGGCTGGTGTTAGGAGAACTAACTTGTGATACGATCACCTGAAAAAAAAATTACTTGAAACCATGCTTATAATCAAGATGGCTGACTCAGACTTGTGCGCCGTACGATACTACAATATTAGACCATGTGACAGGTGCTCGACTCTCGTATACAGATAAATAAATAAATCCGATTGTGCCATAGTATGGCTACACACGTTGTGTAAGCCACACAAAAATCAGTAATGAGGTACATAAACAACAAGTACCCGTGCCAAATATTTTGCAATATTCAACAATCATTTGGTGCTAAAGAATATATATGCAAGAAATGTCATTCAAAAGTCATAAAAAGAGAATTACCATGTCAGGCTGTTGTGAATAATAATACCATCCACATTACAGGCTTCATTAGAAAAACTAGAACAAGTACTAATTGATTCTCAATTTTGATCCTCTAGAGCTTCTTAATTTTTGTTTCTGCTTTTTTTCCCACTGTTTTTTTTTTTTACATAAAGTTCCTAAAATTGGAACTTTATGTACTTTTTATAGCAACAAAACATGGCTTAAAGGCTGAGCAAAGAACAACACATGACACATTTAGTTTGCTAGTTTGCTAGTTTGCTACCTTTTCTCACACGGCTTCATGCTAAACAAACAGGTACCGGCTTGTGATCACTGCGGTATTAAAGATTCTGGAATGCCTACAGAGTGAGCATTATTTCCTATATTGGTATACTGATATGATCAATTTCAGTACGACTGCATAAATCACTATTCATTGGATAAGCACCATCAACACCAGTTGAGTTATCCACTTCAGTGTGGTTTATTCAATGCATAATGCCATCCACCCCTTAAGAAAACAGGCCTGATGGACAAAATTCCTAAGGGTTGCATGGAAAATCGCCTAAGAAGCTTAAGTCAATGCCTTTAAAGGATCTAGTTTCTTTAGAACTACAGGTTATATTGATTGCAATATTTTATGCTACACACTAAGAAAATGTGTAAATAAAAACATGAAAAATTTACACAAAATTTGTCCCAAAAAAATGTAGGCAGGAAGACGTGTTGTTAGTAAGCAAAACCTCTATTTAAACATCAGTGTTTAGACCAGATGGACTGATTGGGGACACCAATAAAACAGCAACACCAATTAACATGACACTTATATTATATGGTATTGTATTATACTTATATATATGGTGTTAATTAACATATGGTACTTATTCTTTTGGTTACAAAGATTACAGCAATTGCTGTTGTAGGTTAAAATGTCTGCAAGATCCAATTTTCTTATTTTTTTAATAAAAAATGGGTTAATTGGGACAATTCCTTTGATTTACAGTAAGTTTTTCGCATAAGAATGGCCCAAGATATCTAACAGAGTGTTTGCCGTAGCGTTTAGTTCTAAAACATGGTAATACAAAGTCACTATTCTGCAGCAAGTGTGTAATTATGGTTTGCTAGTTAAGGTTTTTTAAATTTAATATGAGCCTATAAGTGCCATCCTTCTTAGGGCAAATGAATATGGTAGAAATATATTCCCCTTTCACAGTGAGTTGTCTCTTTGATCACTCCTTTTTTCAGCAATTTATCAATTTTGTTTTGAATGATGTGTTGCTCCTTAAGGGAAAAACAGGCTTCTCTTGGGACAGCCTCTTGCTGCGGGAACCCAGCAGGGAATTCAATTTTATACTGAGTCACACTATCAGCCAATGAGATGAAAAATGTTTCAGTTGGCCAGCAATACAGTCATAAGACACTTTGAGAGTTTTGCTTACCTCAACCTCAACATCAGAAACATGATCCAGATTCTCTACTTTGACTTCCCCTGCTTTGTCTTCTGCTGGAGTTTGTTCGGGGGGTTTGTGTGTTGGTAGTTGTATCTTTAGCCTTCAGGTCTGACAATATCCTCGTCCATGACTTGTGGAAAATATGTAGTTCCTTGAATTTCTAGCATCAAAAGGCCTGGAGGACAACCCAATCTTTGTTCTATAAGTTTATTGGCCATACCTGTTAAGGCACACATTCCTTTGAATAAAGACATTTGCACTTTTTCCATCTACATCTACATCTACATTTATTAATTGACAATGCTTTCACATCAAGTCAGTAATTGGATAAATAAATTACAATATCATTAATTAAGCAGCAGAGTTAGATAAAATACTTATAAGTTATATGTAATGATTATTAAAATTTAAAATAGTAATGAACATATTTCATTAAAAGTTTTAAAAAATCTATAGGATATATATATACAAGTAAGAAAATAAAACAGCAATCAATTATTTCTGATATATGAGGCACAATTATCTCTAAATGATAAGTAGGAATGTTACTTGGTAAAGTGTTCCAGTCACTTGCTGTTCTTGGAAGATAACTATAAAGATAATAATCATGATTGCAACTTGGTTGAATAAATGAAATATTATGAAAAGATCTGGTGAAATACTGTTTAGGTAAGAAATGACTAGGTATTAGAAATGCAATCAAGTTATTAACTGCTAAGTAAAATAAACTCAATTGATGAACTTTATATCTATCCTCTAAGGTATCTAAGTTCAATGAGTTTAACATTTCTGTAAACGAAGAATTTCTGTCATAATCTTTTTTAATGAATCTGAATACTCCAAGTTCGCTCTAACAATAGTTGAATAAGCTAGGCACTTAGTACTTTCAGAACAGGGATAAAGGTTGCGCATTACAAAGCAAAGTGACCTGTTTGCTTTAGCCACTATATTATCTACATGAGAGTTCCATTTCAAGTCATTAGATAACGTAACACCTAGGTACGAATGGGTCTCTACTGGGGACAGTTTCTGACCATCAATGTAGTAATCTGTTAACACTGGTTCTTCCCAGATAATCTCATTGTGTGACATTGAGTCACATTAAATTGCATTTACCATATTTTGCTCTAAGATACTAATTTATTGATGCCATTCTGCCGGATAGCACAGTTGTTCGTGGTGTCAATTGATCTGTATAGTAATGCATAGTCAGCAAATAGCCTTAAAGAGCTATTTATGTTTTCATGAATGTCATTTATAAAGAGTAAGAACATAAGTGGGCCCAAAACTGTACCTTGTGGCACACCAGAAGTGACGTTTGCAAGGCCAGAAGCTTCACCATCCATGACTACACGCTGAAATCTCTCTGTAAGCCATTAATTGGTCCAAGTGAGTGTCTTACCCTGAATTCCATAGTGGTACAATTTGGAAAGTAATATCTGGTGGGGTACCTTGTCAAAGGCCTTTCTAAAATCAAAAATTTGAAGGTCAATTTCTGAGCCATTGTCCAGACCTTTCACAAGGTCTTTGATAGTAGACACAAGTTGGGTTTCACAAGAATGATTCTTAAAGCCATGTTGATTGGAGTTCAAGATGTTCTTGTCCTCAAGGTGTTGCATAATACTCTGATAAATTACATGTTTCATCACTTTACATAATGCTACAGTTGGAGAAACTGGTCTGTAGTTATAAGGATCTTGCTTGGTGCTTTTCTCAAGGATTGGTACAATGTTAGCTTTACTCTAATCTAAAGGAAGCTGACCTGAAATGTAAGATTGATTAAACAGGAAGTATACTATTTCAGCAATTTCAGATGCAGTTTCCTTAATAAGTCGAGTAGGTATATATCTTCTTTTGTGAATACTTTTTGAAATTGAGCATTTAGAGTTTCAGCTTCACCAATAGTATCAAACTTCAGTCCTTTATCACTCATTGAAGGTGGAATGCTAATCTCATCCTGTCTCTTAGCCTTTTTATAAGACCAAAATTTCTTTGGTTTATCATCATGATTAGTGTAATGTTTCAGCTATGAAATCATCTTGAGCCTCATGTAATTTCACTTTTAAATGCTTTTGAAATTGACCCTAAGCTTAAAGTCTTTTCTTCTTCCTTAACAATCTTTTTAAATCTCTTGTGATCCATGGAGTGTCACTCTGTGTACCCAGTTTCTTTTTAGGAACTTTCTTGTTTAGAATTTCCATCAGACCAGCTTTAATGAATTGCCAATTGTCTTCAACAAAATAATCCATAGGATTTCTAGCAAAGAAAGCTTTGCTAAGCTCTGAAGCATCCAGCCTTACTTCATTAAAATCAGTCTTATTGAATTTGTATACATATCTTGGTTTTTTCTTGTTTATTTAATTGTCAGATTCAGGTCAAATGATACTGCTGAGTGGTCACTTATGCCTTCTGTACTGTGAATATTCATTACTAGGTCAGAATGGCTAGCTAGAACAAGATCTGATATTGATTCTCCTCAAGTTGAAAGTGTCACCAGTTGTGACAAGGCACGCCGGTCAGGAAGCATCGCCAAATAGCAACTTGCCGCCCACTTTAATCTCCTCTGAGTTCAGCAGTTCACTTACAGAGAAGCTGAGAATGGTCGCTAAGCTTTACAAAATGGCGGCCAGGGATGAGATAAAAGGGGCCGTTTATGCCCTTCGCCCTTTGCATGGAAAAGTGGAAAATTTTTTTTCAGTTTGAAGAAGAAGTGAGAGAGATTATAACGTCAGTTTTTGAAAAACACTGTAGTGGGCAAGATGTGTTTCAAAAAGTTTGCCGCTCACTAATAGAAGTCGGTTCAGTCATCGAAGCGGAAATTTCTATGTTGCTTAAATCTGTTTACAGATGCCTAACAGCTCGAATGAAAGCTAGAGAACCGTGGACGGTAACTTTTACGAGGGACATGCCTGAAGAAATTTTTCTATCCGTTATGGAAGTGGTAAAGAAGGCTCCCTCTGCCTTTGGCGTAATACATACAACAACAGATTTGGCATATCAGCTTTCTTACTCTAAGGAGACCAGAATTTTGAGAGATTTTTCAAAGTTGTGCAACACTTCCCGAGAAGACGTCATGTCTTACCTCTGCAAGCAAACTAAAGCGCCCAGGAAAGGAAATGTCAAGGTTACAGTCAAGCTGGATAAGCCTTTTGTACTGACATATATGAAGCGGAAACAACATCTGATAGTGAAGTGCCACTACATTTTCACAAATGAACATGGTTATTCATTTCAAACTTGACTGAAATACACAACTTGACACCATCCTGTACTTATTGTTCAGAGGGCTAATACTTCCAACCTTCATCAGTTATTGTTACAATAATGATTAACAACGAACAGCGCCCAATTATTGTTCCACAAGTTGTGATAATTTTCTTGCCAATTAGAGTTATCATAGCAACAGTAAAAATCGTTAAAAACATTTGTAATTTTCCGTCTTAATGCTTATAACTCAAAACTGAGTTGACGACTTCCATTTGTTATACTGAATTATGATCATGTCATGCTACAAGTCTTGGCAGAGTTTTTAAAAGCCTGTCGGTGTAGTTCAGAACCACCTTAAGTTTTTGAAAATTGAAGGTTGCTTAATTTCAACCATTCTGACAGAAGTTTGTTTAGACTTTGCCAAATGTTGTTTCATGACATGCTGATTGTAAATCAAGAAAAAAAAATAGGACTCACTAAACTCATTTTTGAACTAATAGCCCTAAAAGCTTAAATTAAGGGCATTTTGAACAGGTCATTCTGATGCTATGCTAACCCTTATGGAACAGATGTTGTCTTTAGTTTTGAGTAATGATTGGGCATTTGTTTTGTAGCAATACTGTGGCAGTAAGTGACCCATCAAAACGTAGGGGCTGGAAATTACTAAAAACACTTATGAGCCTCCCTTAGGCACATGCACTCTAACTTAGTGTCTGAACAGAAATGTGTACTATTGATACACACCTGATGCAACAAACAAACAGGAGCATCCACCGGATCAACCCTTGTTTAGTATAAGCACACAAGTGTATAGTATCATTTAACAGGTTCATTAGTGTTTATTAAAAATGTTTCAAGATGGAAATAACAGATGTACCATTGCTAAAGATATGTTAACAATTGTTGAGAAAATGCATAACAATACAATTTTGTGACAACCCTTTCCATTGTTTTACAACTAAAATGGGCCAATACAGAATTTATCCATATAAAATGCCTAATAACTTAAGGGTTAAGATTTTTCTTAACAAGAATGGATTTAAGCATCAAATGCTTCAACATGTAAATAGCAAAAATTCCATTGCTTAAGACACACTAACAATTGTTGAGAACTATGAAAACATTACAATTCTGTGACAACTTATTTCACTGTTTTACAACTGAAATGGGCCAATACAGAATTAATCCATATAAAATACCTATGGATTTAAGCACCATTGATCTGGTTCGATCACAGAACCTCTTTTTTTAAGCAGGAAGCTTTTCCTTTGAGGCCCTCAACATGTCATTTGTGACAAGACCTTTCCTTGGTCAATACTATTTTGAATCACATTCATCAACGGGTCACTACAAAAAGTACACTTGCTTTCTGCAGGGTCTGCTTTTTCAAGATTACAGTAACAGTATCCAGAATTTTCAAAAATCCTGGCTGGAATGTAAACAGCATTGTGTTTGTAAGTATTTAGCTAAAATCCCTGTTCTGGCAGCCAAATCAACATGACAAATTCATGTTTAAAAATTTCAGGCCACTGTCGCTGAAAAGTTGTATTCTCACTTAGTTTCTTCAGAGCTATGTGTTTGGCCTCCCTCCCTTCCATTGTCACAGTTCCCAATCCTTGCTTGTATTTCCTATGGACATCTTGTGCATGGCTGGGTATGATGTGCCCTATTGTCCAAACAGTGGGATTGACTGATGAAGGCAGAAATAAAGCATTTGCCCAAAAATACTCCCTTGCAACAACAGCCAATCGGCTCAGCTGTTCAGCAGTGATATCAGACATATTAAAAATGGACACACAATCCCTTAGTTTTAGCCCAACATAAGCATAGATCAAAACTGTTTGCCTCTGACGTTTAAAGTCTTTCTCACTGCTAAGCCACTTGACCAACCGCATGAAATTATGACAAAACAGTCTAGATTCTTTCCCCGTAAAGCGGTACTGCAAATCCTGACCAGTGCTCTGTGTTTCATCATACCATTTGATAACCTTTCTAGCAAGGCATTTGGCTTTAACTTCATACTTAAGGGCAGTTAGAACTCGTGAAAAGGGGCTATCCTTTGGGACATCACTAAACTTCTTGCATGCACCAGAAAGATTAGACTTTGCAGTAGCCTCTTTTAACACACCCTTAAAAAAGTACTGCCATGCATTGTTCTTAATATGGAGAGGCTCCACATGGGCTTTCTCTATCAACTTGCCAATCAATGGGACAAATTCCTGGCGACTGTTTTTCTTTGAGATGAAATCTGTTACCTTAGTTCGAAATTGCTTTTCTTTGAGTTGTTTTGTTGACAAAGACTGCTTAAATTTGTCAACTTGGTTAGCAACTGCAATTCTTTCTTCATATTTCCAAGAATGCCACATGGTTCTACAATTAGTTGCAAATGTACCCTTTAAATCTGAACAATTTTCTTTCGATACATTTGCAAATGAGGAAAAGAACTTGGCACTGTTTGATAACTCTCCCCCCAACATAGCAAGCATTTTCATGTCATTAGGTACTTCTTCAAATTTAAAAGTAACCTTGAGACCCTCAATTTCAAAAACCTTTCCCTCCAGGTTAGTAATTTCTTGGCATAAGAGCTGCACATACTTTTTAACCACAGGGCAAGAACCCTCACAGTTGGCACCGAATATAATAAAATTATCATTACTGGAGGCAACCCTCTTGCCAACATTTAAGAAACTTACTAAAAATGTACAAGCACTTTTGTTCTTACCAAAAGGGCACCCGTCGCCACCAAGGGCAACAAGGAATGTGCCCTCAGCATTACCAAACCATTTTAGTGATTCTTTCTAATCCCTTCTTAAGTAAAACTGTGCAAGGCGTGGCAAAAACTCTTCCAATTTTCGAAAACAACCACAAACAGTATCATCTTCTGAGGCTTCTTGAATATAATCCTCAACTGAATACACATTCCCAATATCAATTTTCCTATTTTCCCTCACAAGATTATTGTAAGTCAGCAATTTTGGAATGGGACATTTTGGCATGATGCTGATGCTTGATCTCTTTCCCCTTTCTTTCTCACTCTTTTTCATTGACAAAGCAACTCGCACAGCCTGCTATTTTCTTTTACCCATAATACCACTGCTGTAAAATGTGGCAATACTCCTCTTAACATTTGTGGGTGAGTTTTCAAAAGATCTCACATTCCCTTTATAAACATTAGACACTACTGTGACGGTGTGTTAGGACATTAATATACCAAAGGTTCCAAACCTCGATATTTTATTACAATAAATAACGGATGAAGGTTATGACAAAAACCATGGATATGGATCGGAGATTCGAAATCTGTAAAGTAATGCGTTAACAAATTAGTTTCAGTTCATATCGATAATATCAAAAGAAATCAAGATAAATATTTACCCATTGGTTCTAGGTGTCCATAACACTGTCTAGCGATAGAAAATCTTAACAATTATATCTGTTACGTCATCAAATTATAATGCGCAAAGAAATTAGAATTTTGCGCAATACAACTACTTTATCTTTTAACTTATCATTACTTAAAACATAATCTTTCATTGTATTTAATTTACAACGCTTGTGTTGAACATGCCATCTAAGGCAGGTGTTGGGTTGTTTTCTGAACCACCATGGATTCTTGCTGCAGCTACCAATGTCTCATGACGTCTCTTAGTTGCTGTACGAAGTGGTAGGTTTGATGTTCCTTCCACAAGACAAGTGGGAAGTGTTGTGCGGCCACCAGGAGGTGATACACATGGCTGGCTGTGAATGAATACATAGTCACCCATGAATGTGACATTTATTGGGAGCTACATGTAACAAATAAAATAAACCAAAACAAAATAAAAATAAAATAAAACAACAAGACAACATAAAAGAAAGGAAAAGAAAATAACATAACATAAGACAGAGTAAAACAACAAAGTAACAAAAATAAAATAAAACAAGCTGGGCAAACAAATAAAATAACTACAGTCCCTCACTGTGCCATTCCCCTACCGCGCAAATCTTTTGCTTTGCACCCATATACTATGCACGAATTATGTAATCTCATTTGTATTTTGCCAGGTATTTCATTTAAGACCACAACACTGTGACAAGCAAAGATTTGTTTCTGCTTTCATGACCCCTTGGGGGAGTGATTTGGCCCAGCATGTCAGATCCCATATTTGCTCAGGTCCATTTGGTTCTCAGCACTGCCTTTTCTCTGACAATGAGTAATTTCAAGTGCATTTCATGCACAATATTTCCCAAGGCAAGGCATAAATTTGTCAAATTTGTCAGTCCTGTCTCAAAGCTAATATATCCCAACCATCAGCTTAACATTAATTTGGTGACCAACCTGGATATTCTCATTTTGGTTTGTTAAAGCAGTTAGCACTCCCCTTGCATCATCAACCTTTAAACACAACAAATAAGAAATGAATACCTTATTAGTTCACTTCTTTTCCTTTGAATTTTTCCGATAGCAGGCCAAAAATACTCGAGTTTGGTATCGAAAGAAAGCTCTCGAGTTCAGCTGTCGACCGAACCACGTTTTGAGACCTCATATGTATCCCAGAATGCATTAAGAGCCGTGATTTTATGCAAAAAATGATCTAAGCCCCAGTCTTCTCGCGGCAACTTTGGCTTCGGGCGCCATATTTAAAGACAATTTGATGCCTTTTTTGACCACCCGCTGACCCAGCGTGAAGCAGGGTATTCAACAATGCTGAGCATCTTTTGATTCAAGGATAGGCCATATTGTGCATTTGAAGATACTGATTTTTTTTTTTTTTAAACAATTTTATTTACAAGACGATCACTTACACTACTTACAGCATTAATTACACTTACATTGTACTTGCTACTAACACTACTGATACTTTTACTTACACAAATTATGCATACACTACATTACGATACATGTATTACAATACTATTAACATTAATTTAATTTACAGTTGGCGTGTTTACAAAGTTCTTTTCAATTAAAAGACAATCACAAGTAAACATACAGGTCTCAAAAATGAAGTTAAGTATAAGTCTAACCTAAAAAACAGCAGTATGAAAAATTAAAGTAAAAAAGCCCACGTGCGATAAAATTTCGGAAGTTCTTTTTTTGCGGTCGCGATCTCTTTTAGGATTTCAAGTTTTCCCGTGATGAACAGTAGGAAGATTTGAAAATCTAAGATGTCTCCGCAAAGGCTTGTGCAGAAAATGTGATATTTGGCTAACAATAGACAATAATTTAGGACTTGCCAATGCTTTGTCCTATAATGCCAGCCATAGAGTATATGACTTGTGGATAACGTTATTGTTTCATTTGTTTTTTGGTGCCACCAGTCTTGAAACAGAATTCAGAAGTCGAGTATTAGTGTGCAGTTTATTAATAGGTGATGCAACGTTTGTTTTTCTGTATTGTATAGGTTGCATAAGGGGCTCTCTGAAATGCCGTCTCGGTAAAGAGTGGTGCGAGTTGGAAGCACGTTATGAATCACTTTATACTGAAACATTATTATTTTAACTTCGTTTATTACTTTAAATGGCATAAGATAAACGTTCTTGATGGTAGTTTTTGAAAATCCGTGGCATAGAATTTTGGTTTCGGCAGTGGGAGGAACAAAGACGGTGTTTAAAAGAGAAGAGTAAATAGAACTGGTTCTTAGGCTGTTTACAGTAGTGTTCGCGTGTGTGACGTTTGGAATAGGGTTTGTAAGAATGGCTTTCCGGTCTTTTGGGATTGCGTTGACCAAGCC